ATTACTCAGATATTTCAGAAATTGGTTTTTCTTTCGATGGATATTTGTTTTCCTAATGATTTTTTTTAATATATTCTAAATTCTGATATCAAGTAAGGATCTGGCTCCAATTAAGATTTTGTTGTTATTTTCATCTTGATCATACTTAAAACAATTGTAAGGAAAGACAGAGAGAGTTCTCAGACCGGTATTGTGTTTGGTTTTTGGTTTTGATAGCGAAGTCGATTAAGCCATGTCCGTCAGAATGTTTGTTGAAATCAAGCCAGATACCTTAGGGATTCAACAAAAAAAGAATACTTAGGATACATTTCTGACGAATTTCACTAGAACGGATTCCTCTAGAAAGGCGAAAGGTAGAGGGTAAACATAATCTGTCAGACCAGTTCTGTTGTTTTTGATTTTAATAGCGAAGTCGATTATCTACCTGTCTATCTATCTATCTATCTATCTATCTATCTATCTATCTATCTATCTATCTATCTATCTATCTATCTATCTATCTATCTATCTATCTATCTATCTATCTATCTATCTATCTATCTATCTATCTATCTATCTATCTATCTATCTATCTATCTATCTATCTATCTATCTATCTATCTATCTATCTATCTATCTATCTATCTATCTATCTATCTATCTATCTATCTATCTATCTATCTATCTATCTATCTATCTATCTATCTATCTATCTATCTATCTATCTATCTATCTATCTATCTATCTATCTATCTATCTATCTATCTATCTATCTATCTATCTATCTATCTATCTATCTATCTATCTATCTATCTATCTATCTATCTATCTATTCTATCTATCTATCTATCTATCTATCTATCTATCTATCTATCTATCTATCTATCTATCTATCTATCTATCTATCTATCTATCTATCTATCTATCTATCTATCTATCTATCTATCTATCTATCTATCTATCTATCTATCTATCTATCTATCTATCTATCTATCTATCTATCTATCTATCTATCTATCTATCTATCTATCTATCTATCTATCTATCTATCTATCTATCTATCTATCTATCTATGGACATGGACACAAGGTTTACATGGGCACACAGGCAGACGGACATACATAGCTAAATCGACTCAGAAAGTAATTTTGACCCGATTGGTATTCTTTAAGCTGGGTGTAGGATCAACATTTTTGGATGTTGCAAACAAACATCAGCACAAACGCATAATATCCTTAATTAATTAGTAGTATTATATAGAAAGTGTAATTTAATATATGATCCTCCTTTATGGGGGTTTATGCGTTTAAATCATTTTCAAAAAAAACCTTTGGATCATGTAGTATTCATAAGTATAATAAAACCATCGTAGTTATTATTTGACAGGATCGTAAGTTATAATGTTTTAATTTTTTTAACAAGCTTTATTAAATTAATCCGAGTATGTTTACATTTATACAACAGTATTTTTATTATTAAGGTAAAACCGTTAGCTTTTTTTTGATAAATTCTTTATTCCGGTATGTATATTCATTTTCATATTTTCTTTCCAAAGTCAACTATTCGAACTATTTGGAAATCTGTTTGGGGAATATATGTCTGCGTTGCTTGGCGGTACTATTACAAAACGTCTTTCGGTATTTGTTCTGTATTGTTCCAGATCTCTGTTAATAATTTCCGTTTCATCTTCAATTTTGCAATGTTTAATACAGCAACAAATCAAAGGTACAGTTATTAAACAAATTTTTGCAACAACAAATGCCACCATAATATATGTTTACACTCTAATGTTTTAAAATATACTGATTAGGCATGAAAAAAATAAAGGCCGATGGTGACCAGACGCTCTTAAAAATTAAAAGAAAGAAGTTATAATCGGGTGAGGCCGACCATATAATACCCTACACCAGTATAGATCTGGTTTTGCAGCTTTTTGTCGGTACGCGAGTATATTGAACATAATTATGAACTTAAAAGCCCTATTCGGGGGGTTCAGTTGTATGGGGGCTAGGTCAAATATCAGACCTATGTTACCCATTTTTTGAGATTCGTCTCTAGTACAATAGAAGATCATGTGCAAAATTTCATTGAATTGCAACCAGTACTTTTATTACAAAGTTTACAAGCCCTTTCCGGGGGTTAAGTTGTATAGGGGCTAGGTGAAATAATGCACTGAGACAATAGAAGTTCATGTACCAAATTTCATTGAATTATTTTCAAAAATGCAACCTGTAGTTTGATTACAAGGTTTACATGAACGGACGGACATAACTAAGTCGGCTTAGAAAATGATTCTAAGCTAATTGGTATACTTTAAGCTGGGCATAGGACCATTATAACATCAGCACAAACCCAATATATACTCCCCACTAAAGTGGTGTAGGGTATAATTATATTATGTACATAATATACATATGTACGTCATCAGAGCCCAGGCGAAGTCAAAAATTATGTTTAAATTTTATGTATGTAAATATGTACGCAAAATTTATGTTATCATACTTTTAAAAAAAAATATTTTTTAATAATTTTTTTTGGGGAATGTATATTTGAAAACATGTTTGGGGAATGTATGTCTGCGTTGCTTGGCGGTACTAGTACAAAACGACTTTCGGTATTTGTTCTGTATTGTTCCAGATCTCTGTTAATAATTTCCATGTCATCTTCCATTTTAGTACATAAATTTTTGCACCAACATATGTCTCCATAAGATATGTTTACACGCTAATGTTTTAAAATATACTGATGCGTTAAAAATGGCAGTAGGCTAAAATAACAAAACACACAAAAATGCCATTGACTTTGATAAACAGACCTACTAAACCATTTGATACAGTAATAGTGAATACTATAGTATAGGTCCACTGCCGAAATCATATAATGGAAATTCTTATGCTCTAACAATAATATGTAACATGACAAAATATCTTGTAACAATACCAATAGAAGACAAGTAAGAATTTTTTAGTCGGGCATGGCCGACTACACCAGTGATTATGTTTAATAATATTCAATTTAATTTTTACCTTAATTCAGAAATATTTTAACAATTTGTGGAAAAAGAGTGATTTTCAAAAAGAGGGATAAAATGGGGACAGGAGGTTAATATGGTCCTATCTTTATAAATTTTGATATAGGAATTTATGTCTACATTAGTTATTTATGCAGAATATCATTGTGTTATTAGTATTTATAAGTAATTTTTGACCATCATGTCATTTACTGAAGGAGACTTTATATGGGGGATAGGGTGAGGCCCGATCATTACGAAAATCGGCTGTATCATTAAGACTTATATAGTACTAAGTTTTGCCGATTTTTGAAGTGATACTAGAACATTTAACATATTTATGAACTCAAAAGCCCTATTAGGGGTGTACGGTTGTATGGGGGCTATACGAAATAATGGACCGATTTTAACAATTTTCAAAAGAAGAGTATTCATCCAATTTACTTGAAAATTGCGACCTGTAGAATGCGCACAAGGTTTACATGGACACACAGACGGACATAGCAGCGAAGCACACTGGGTATAGGTAGTAATGTATAAAAAGACAACCGGTGTATCGTAAAATATCGTGATCGACCATATAATACCCCACATCAGTTATGAATATTAAATATGATTTATTTTTCATAATAAAGCATTTAGCTTGATTCCGATTTATTTAAGCAATTTATTGGCAATTTGCTTTAGGAGCAAATATGGACCGATCCCGATAAAATGAGCTGGATAGATTTATATTTATATAATATGTGTCTGTGTTAAATTTCATCGCAATATAAGTGAATTGCGGATATTTAAGTAATTTTCTGAAGTGGACTTTGTATGGAGACTAGAATCGAATGAGGTCCGATCATTTCGAAATACGGAAAGGTCATCAAGACTTGTATAAAGCTTAATTGTGTGATCTTTTATCGCGATACAATTATATTATACATAATTATCAAATTAAAAAGCCCTTTTCGGGGAGTTCAGTTGTATGGGGGCTAGGTGAAATAATGGATCGATTTTAACCATTTTCAATAGGCTACATCCATGGTTCAAAAGATGCCAAATTTCATAAAATTATCTTGAAAATTGCAACCTGCACTTTGATAACAACGTATACATGGACACACGGACGGTCGGAGGGACATCGTTAAATCGACTCAGAAAGTGATTCTGAGTTAATCGGTATACTTTAAGATAGCACTAATATTTTAGTGCGTCTCACTCCCACTAGAGTTGTGTAGGGTCTAAATAGGGTGTTTTTTGAAAAAATGTTATTTAAAAAAATTTAGAAACAATAAAGAAATAGCTATCTGAACTCCTTTGGACAATTTTTGCAAGGACCAATAGGTGAAAACTTACACTCATTTGAATAAAACACTGTATGACCAAAAATGTCCAACTTTGACTCCCTCTAAGTCCACCAGTTCTTTGCCGATAGAGCTGAAAATTTGTGTCCGGCCTACTAAGTATCCAATAGTACTAACATTGGTGCAAATTTCATCCAAATCGATTTTTTGAGTTGGGTCACTTGACACGAATTGCCCTTAATTAAAAAATGATTTACAATCACTGCACTAAACGATGTCTATAAAAAGTAATTTAGACTTGCATCTTGACATGATCACTATCAAAAGCAGAAAAGATCTACATTAACGAAGATTCACTAATTTAAAAAAAAAGCCTTTAAATGAAACGCTTCACAGATATTTGATTGACTGATTCAGAGAGTTTTAAAAATAAATTTGGCCATTTATAGGGCCAAATTTAAAATGCATGCATTGATAAAGGGGCTAAGAAAGAAAGAAACAGAGGAGAAGCAACAATGGTTAAACAAGAGAAGAAGAGTACTGCGGATGGTAAGGTAGGTAAACAGAAAAAAAACTGACGCAGACAATAGCGAAACAAACAGACAGTAATAACAATAATAATAACAACAACAAAAACACAATGTTGGTAGTAATGACAACAAGTTAAATGATCGAGAGGTATGTTTTGAACTTTGGCAGTAACTCTTAGTCTTAATTGAAGCTTAAAACGAAAAGCACGTTATTACAAAACGAAACGGTTTTTATTTTTCGGAAATTTTTCTCTGTGTGTATTTTATTAAAAACTACGAAAACTAATGGTCAACTGCAATTGGGTCATATAGAAATATATCAAAAAAAATAGTATTTGTAATCAAACATATTTGTTATGGTGGCATTAAAAGTTATCGAGATTAATTACAGGCGATAGATAATACCCAAGCAAAAGTTTAATTTCAAACATATAAAGAGTGAGAGTAAAAGAAAGGTAATTTTACCTTTAATCCCTATAAGCAATTATAAGGATTAATAAAGATGAGCTTTAAATGAAAAATCGATTATTTTTTTTTAAATTGAAACTACTGTCACTCATATTCGCGTGCTATTAATTACATGATTTATGGTCTAATGTCACAAACGTGTTAATGATAAAGATCTCTGTAACAGTCGTAACCAGTGCATGTAATGTTAAAATATTAGAATTAGAACATTAGTGCGGTAATTCTAATTGAATAACATGTAAACATTTGTGTATAATTCATCATATTCGTGTAATAACTAAACATAATAACAACTCGCTTATAATTATTAAATTATTAAAATCAAAGATAAAATCCACAAAAACAAAAGTTTAACCTTGTTCCTCTATCATTTGCTTTACGTTTATGAATTTGAATTTTGTGGCTATTGAATGTCAAAACCAATCCAGTTTTTTTTTATTTATTTGTATCTTGCTTTCGTTACGATTACTACGAGTATATTATTAAAGTGTTGTGTGTCAAACGATTTAAAACTAAAACTCAAAATTGTATCCGCTAAAAACAAAATGTTAAAAGAAAAAATAAATAAATAATATATGTATATGCAAAAAAAAAATTCAGAAAATTGCCAAAATGTTAAATCAACAAATAAAACGAAATACATAAAAAAACAGCAGTAGCAATAAAAAAAAACCGAAATTTTGTAAACAAAATTTTCTCACCTCTTTGATTTTACTTTCACTCTCATTTTAAGTGATTATTGTGTATCTATTGGTTAAAGGTAAAAGTAATTTCGGTCACTACTTCGGTGATTTGGTGCGAACCCCACGATTCACTTATTTCTAAGATTTTTGCAGAAAAGATCAAAATTAACACATGTAAGAATACTTCTCAATCGATGAGTACTAATAACAGAACGGGAAAAACATTTTTATAAAGATGCCTCAGTCCACTACCAGTGATTGAAAACTTTGATCTCGTTAGTTAGTTTCTTAGTTAGTTAGTTAGTTAGTTAATTAGTTAGTTAGTTAGTTAGTTAGTTAGTTAGTTAGTCAGTTAGTTAGTAGTTAGTTAGTTAGTAGTTAGTTAGTTAGTTAGTTAGTTAGTTAGTTAGTTAGTAGTTAGTTAGTTAGTTAGTTAGTAGTTAGTTAGTTAGTTAGTTAGTTAGTTAGTTAGTTAGTTAGTTAGTTAGTTAGTTAGTAGTAGTTAGTTAGTTAGTAGTTAGTAGTTAGTTAGTTAGTTAGTTAGTTAGTTAGTAGTTAGTAGTTAGTTAGTTAGTTAGTTAGTTAGTTAGTAGTTAGTTAGTTAGTTAGTAGTTAGTTAGTTAGTTAGTTAGTTAGTTAGTTAGTTAGTTAGTAGTTAGTTAGTTAGTTAGTTAGTCGTTAGTTAGTTAGTAGTTAGTTAGTAGTTAGTTAGTAGTTAGTTAGTTGGTTAGTTAGTTGGTTAGTAGTAGTTAGTTGTTAGTTAGTAGTTAGTTAGTTAGTTAGTTAGTTAGTTAGTTAGTAGTTAGTTAGTTAGTTAGTTAGTTAGTTAGTTAGTTAGTTAGTTAGTTAGTAGTTAGTTAGTTAGTTAGTTAGTTAGTTAGTTAGTTAGTTAGTTAGTTAGTAGTAGTTAGTTAGTAGTTAGTAGTTAGTTAGTTAGTTAGTTAGTTAGTTAGTTAGTAGTTAGTAGTTAGTTAGTTAGTTAGTTAGTTAGTTAGTTAGTTAGTTAGTTAGTTAGTTAGTAGTAGTGTTAGTTAGTTAGTTAGTTAGTAGTTAGTTAGTTAGTTAGTTAGTAGTTAGTTAGTTAGTTAGTTAGTTAGTTAGTTAGTTAGTTAGTTAGTAGTTAGTTAGTTAGTTAGTTAGTTAGTTAGTTAGTTAGTTAGTTAGTTAGTTAGCGTGACACCCAAATGTACAAATGTTAGTTAGTTAGTTAGTAGTTAGTTAGTTAGTTAGTTAGTAGTTAGTAGTTAGGTAGTTAGTTAGTTAGTTAGTTAGTTAGTAGTTAGTTAGTAGTTAGTAGTTAGTTAGTTAGTTAGTTAGTTAGTTAGTTAGTTAGTTAGTTAGTTAGTTAGTTAGTTAGTTAGTTAGTTAGTTAGTTAGTTAGTTAGTTAGTTAGTTAGTTAGTTAGTTAGTTAGTTAGTTAGTTAGTTAGTTAGTTAGTTAGTTAGTTAGTTAGTTAGTTAGTAGTAGTTAGTTAGTTAGTTAGTTAGTTAGTTAGTTAGTTAGTTAGTTAGTTAGTTAGTTAGTTAGTTAGTTAGTTAGTTAGTTAGTTAGTAGTTAGTTAGTTAGTTAGTTAGTTAGCGTGACACCCAAATGTACAAATGTTAGTTAGTTAGTTAGTTAGTTAGTTAGTAGTTAGTTAGTTAGTTAGTTAGTTAGTTAGTTAGTTAGTTAGTTAGTTAGTTAGTTAGTTAGTTAGTTAGTTAGTTAGTTAGTTAGTTAGTTAGTTAGTTAGTTAGTTAGTTAGTTAGTAGTTAGTAGTTAGTTAGTTAGTTAGTTAGTTAGTTAGTTAGTTAGTTAGTTAGTAGTTAGTTAGTTAGTTAGTTAGTTAGTTAGTTAGTTAGTTAGTTAGTTAGTTAGTTAGTTAGTTAGTTAGTTAGTTAGTTAGTTAGTTAGTTAGTTAGTTAGTAGTTAGTTAGTTAGTTAGTTAGTTAGTTAGTTAGTTAGTTAGTTAGTTAGTTAGTTAGTTAGTTAGTTAGTTAGTTAGTAGTTAGTTAGTTAGTTAGTTAGTTAGTTAGTTAGTTAGTTAGTTAGTTAGTTAGTTAGTTAGTTAGTTAGTAGTTAGTTAGTTAGTTAGTTAGTTAGTTAGTTAGTTAGTTAGTTAGTTAGTTAGTTAGTTAGTTAGTAGTTAGTTAGTTAGTTAGTTAGTTAGTTAGTTAGTTAGTTAGTTAGTTAGTTAGTTAGTTAGTTAGTTAGTTAGTTAGTTAGTTAGTTAGTTAGTTAGTTAGTTAGTTAGTTAGTTAGTTAGTTAGTTAGTTAGTTAGTTAGTTAGTTAGGTAGTTAGTTAGTTAGTTAGTTAGTTAGTAGTTAGTTAGTTAGTTAGTTAGTTAGTTAGTTAGTTAGTTAGTTAGTTAGTTAGTTAGTAGTTAGTTAGTAGTTAGTAGTTAGTTAGTTAGTTAGTTAGTTAGTTAGTTAGTTAGTTAGTAGTTAGTTAGTTAGTTAGTAGTTAGTTAGTTAGTTAGTTAGTTAGTTAGTAGTTAGTTAGTTAGTTAGTTAGTTAGTTAGTAGTTAGTTAGTTAGTAGTTAGTTAGTTAGTTAGTTAGTTAGTTAGTTAGTTAGTTAGTTAGTTAGTTAGTTAGTTAGTTAGTTAGTTAGTTAGTTAGTTAGTTAGTTAGTTAGTTAGATTGTGTGAAAACCATTTTTTAAGAAGCAACAAATTACAAACGCTAGATCCCGGGTTCTATTTTTTTACCATAACAAAACAAACTTACACAACCTCCTGTCTGGTAATGACTTATTTTGCTCCCTCTTTGGGAGTGAGTGTGGTCTCTCTTCACGACGTTGCTGTGTTAATCGAAGTATTCTCAATATCGAGGACTTAAATGATGTTTTTTTAATTCATACCTAACATAGCTAAATACTCGCTATTGATATCGTAAGCGAAACTTCGAGATCGAAAAATTTGCTGACACAAACTGAGCGACAGGTGAGCTCTAGTAGCACATTCTGTTGCCGCTTTCAAATCTTTTACTCTAGAAATTATTGAGAAAACTTCGATGGCGATTTCATTAGCGATAGCCATGGTCTCCACAATTGTATTCATGAAAAGTTAAAATGGCAATGTATACGTAGTAGTCAAAATACATATATCTTGAAAATGAAATTACTTTTTCCACCCACCAATAGTTTACTACACCCTATGCGGTTTAGTTACTTGTCAATATATTTTGGTAAAAACAAGTTTTTTTTTCTTGCAGAGCTTAATAATTTTTGTTATTTCGTTTACATCTGCTTATAAAAAATTCATTGCCGCTATTTTTTGGATATTTGCTTTTCTGCTGCTTTTATTTATTTCTTTTTTTTTTTTTTTGGTAAATTCACGTCATTTTTGTGGTAGTACGTTATATTTCAAAATAATATATTTTGTTAACCATAAAAAAACTCTAAAGTTTTAAAACAAACCTCTCTTTGTTAAAAAAAAAAAAATTAGAAAAAATTGTGTTAATAATAAAATATTCGTTTTTTAGCTGAAATAATGGAAAAAAGTGTTAAAAGAAATGTTTGTGTGTTTTAAAAAGAATAATTAGAAGAATTAAAATTCAATGGAATTTTTGCCATTACAATTGAATTGTGTTTTACAAACAACATATTCAGTGTTTTAAATTGTTTTTAACGAAATTTGTAAAATAGTAAATAAAAAAGCAAAAAAAAACATCATGTTTAAAGTATTTCATTGGTCCCTTATGGGGGCTGGCCTTGGTCTTTTGGTATCAATGTTGGGTTTTTATTGCGGCTGGTTCCTGTTCCCAACAATGATTCATAAGAAAGTCGAAGAGGTAAGTGAACATTTTTGTTTGCAATACATATTTGAACTGTTAGTTTTAAAAGTGTCATGAGTCCACTTGTTTTTAAACTGAGGCATATATGATTTAGAATATTAATATTTTTAAAATCTGTGTGATACTTGTGGATCGAACTGGAGGGAATTTGGGAGATCGATTAATTTGTTAATACAATTTTGTATGTCGAAATATGTTAGAGGGGTTCTATGACGCACAGGGTAAAATATGGGCTGATTCGATAGATAAGGTTTATTTTGAA